ATAATTATTAACTAATGATATCACATATTTTTATAGACATACTTATATAGATAAAAATGATGACGCATTACTCTTATGTGAATATAATTTTTCAATATACTTGATTAATGGATTTATTAAATAGTTCTATGTTTCATAATACAAAATAGAAAAACATGAATCAAAAACATGATTCTGCTATCTTCTTAAAAGCCTATATGCATATTATTTCTATGAAGAAGGGATATCTATGAAGAAGAGATGTCACCATTTGTCAATGTGTGTTAAGTGATGCGAGATTAGAGACAAGACAATTTTTTACGCAAATGACAAATTCTTCCAGTGACTGAAAGGATCGAATGTCACGTTGGCGGCATCCGTTTCATCAGATGATTATGAATAATGCGAACGATTACGAAATGTTGATTACCTGACCCGAAGATAACGCAAAGATGATATAAAGTTGCAACGTTTCTTTCGGCTACTGTTGTCGAGATCCTGGGAACGCTGTATCAAGGATGCATATTGTGAGAATCTAATGTAATATTAAAAGCGGCAAATCGGAATTTTTCTTTGGTTTCGCAAATGCAAATTGATTCTAAAAGTCTGTGTGAAACTCGTAATTTTATCATTAACATTGAAAAAAGCATGTGCGCGCGCATATGCACAAAATTTCTTCCACTTTCTTGATTGACGCCTCCTGGGGCGTGGATTCCCATCCGGGTGTTCTCTGAGTGTCATGTCATTCTTGTTTAATGTTCGATAAACAACAAGGAGTAATATCTAGGTGACACTCGAGTGGGCACTGAATGTTAATCTCTTTTGAAAGTTATAATTAAAATTGAGGTATAATTAGGATTTATTATATATTCACGAAAAGGATAGTTTCATTCGTGACTTATAAATAAATCTTTAAAAAACTACGTAAAAATTATTTCCTTTATAATATTACCTTTTATATTAATTTTTAAATAATTGAAATTATCGCACAATATATGCATTCTTTATTTTAAAATTTAAAATTTTCTGCTGAATTGCCTTACATTGTATTATTTTACTTTACAAAAAAATGTTTTTTTAATTATTTTGAACTAGACAAGATATTTCTTGTAAATTTTTGAATGCTGAACACGCAAGTTAAATTTCATTAGTACGTTTTTTGAAATTAAAGTTTAATATGTAAAAAAGAACTTTTTTGTGTTATTTAACATTTTTTTATTAAAAAGATTAACGTTACTTTAAAATTTTGAAAGTCATGAATGTTTATTGTTCATATCGCCAATCCAGCACTCTTCTGCTTAGAAATCGGCGCGCATACTTTCGCACTGCCTGAATTTATTATCACTAAAATCGTACAATAATACAAAAATAATAATATTCCATTTTGAAATAATAATATTCCGAATATTACGTTTTATCTTTTTTTGCGATTTTCTCCACAATGAAGCAGAAATGAACATATCTTTAAAGGTAACTTTTCTAAGATTTTTTTTTCTTAATCTTTTTATCGATTCCTTACACTCTCTCGAAATTTGGTCAATTAAATATAAGTATACACACATACATTGAGTATCTTATCTAAAAAATATTTCACATAAAATTTGTATAGTCTGTGTATTGAGCAAATTAGAAATTGTATATGACTTCATCATAAGCAGAAAATTTATTTTGGAAAAACTTTGTATTTAAATTCTTTATAATATGATTAAAAAGTATTAAGATGTTAAAATAAAAAGAACATGCATTTTATAGAAAATGAACAATACATTCACGACTTTTAATCAAAGACAATTCAAGATAATATTAATTTCAAAAAAATGTTAAATATCGTTAAAAATTATATTTTTGGATATGACAACCTTAATTATCTTAGAAACCTTACGTGCGGGAATTTTAACTTGCGGTCTATCGTTTATAATATTTAAAAATCAATCAAAAGAACATCTAGTCTTCGGTTTGAAATAATTCTTTACTATAAATTAATATTATTCTCAATCGAATCAGATTTAAGATAATATTCTCAAACATTTATTGTCTACATTTTAAGTTGCTGGATAAATGCTGGTATCATGAGTATCAATTATGCAGTAAGGATGATGGTTTTCCATATATACACTTTGATTATCTCATCAGACCTCAGTCTTTTGCATTGCTCGAAGATAGTTATTATTAGACTCTCACAATGCAATTTCCTAGCATTTATAGCTTCCTCAATATGTTGCTCTCGAAGATTGCATGCTTATGGACGGCTGGCGACTTTGTATATGGATATAAACAATTATTGATTATGCGAAACAAATTAAGGGGATCCTAAAGTCATCTGGTTTATCTATTATTTTTCAAATAAGTATATTTTTCTAACTGCCTTTTTATGTATAGATTTAAAAATCTTTCTCTACAATTAAAGTATAAGCGATAATGTAATCCAAACTGATTGACTTTATGTTAAAAATGAAAAAAAGTTGAAAAATTATATAGTTTGTTATATAATCGGCTTTTAACGTCGATTCACAATAATATTTGCTTTATACAAGCTTTTTATACTTTATACGTATAAAATAATCTAAGGATTACATGAATAAATAATATTGTGTTCTTAGAATTAGACTTAGATAATACCTAACATAAAAAATTAGTTAGAAAATGTATACATATATGTGTATGTTCGATATTGATGTAGCAGTGTGTAGTGATATGTCAATGACGCGTTAATCGTATGTATGTAGGTTCAATTTATCAATTATAATACTGAATTATAATACTGAAAAAAGAAGTGTTTAATTTTAAGATATTAAAGTATTTTATTCTTATCTTCATTTTTTAAACACTTAAAGATGTTTTAAAATTTTTTCCATAAACAAAATGTTTTAAATCCAAATACATTTTGTTTATTGAAAAAGTTTAAAACTGAAACATCTTTAAAAAAATAGTGTTTAAAAACTTTTAACATATAATTTAGCCTTACACGTAATATTACAGCAACATTGCAGCAATATTATTTTGTTATAGTATTTATAATGTTTCATAAAACATTTCTGCAATATTGTAGCAATATTCCATTATGTCCGCTAAAATAAAATTTTGCTTCAATATTCTATGATATTGTCGCAATTGAGCTTTTTAATTAAAAAATAAAATATTATATTACTTAGCACTCCAAATATATGATAAATTTATAATCTAAAGTATTTTGGGGCCGAAAGAACTTGAAAATCTCCAGGAGATTCATCAACTCGATTTGCGTATTCCTTCTTATAAGATTTCTGGATGTTTTCTTTTTACGAGAAATGCGTCTTGTTAAGAATCGCGTCATGTCGAATCATAGTAATGCAACAATATATTGCAACAGTTTCTACAAAATATTAAAACTACAATATTTCACAATATTATTGCAATATTTCCAATAAAATATTAAAATTTCTGCAGCAATATTATTGCAATTTTTGTACTATTGCGCACTATTAAAATATTGTACTGTAATATTTCTGTAATATTTTATGTTGTACGGGAGTGACGGATAAGGATCGAAGATCGGAGACACTCCTTTGCCTATAACTGCACACAAACATTATACCATAGACTTCTCCACGAAAAAACAAGATTATAAGTTTAAAAAATTATAAGTTCAAAAAATTACGATTATAATAATCACAAAAAAGTAATAGGTCCATGATTCTGAAAAGATATTTTATATGTATGTGTGTGCATAAACTTGCACATAAATTTAACCTCAAAAAGTAATCATAATGTTACCTTGTTTTCGTTTGGTTTGGAAGATGCAACTCTTGATTTACTAGCGTATATTTCATATTATATTCCATTAAAATACGCACACACATACACACACACACACACACACTTTTTTAATATTTATCCGAATTATATAGATATTTATGATTTTGAGTGGGTCCTGTTGATTCCACTTTACTAAAGAAACTATTTAAAAAATGCATAACTCGTTATCAAATCCCACGTACTTCTTTTAACGTCTAATAATACGTTTTTATTTGCAAATAAAAGATATCTAAAGTGAAAGAGATATTTCGACATATAGTTTTAATTTTGCATATTAATTATCAACATCAAAGTTTTTATAATTAAAAATGTGTCATTTAATATTCTAGTAACTTTAAAATTAGAAAATTTACCTTTTAGAGAATTAATTACACAAAGATTATCCTTGTGACAGATTATAGAAATATATAACCTGACAGAAGATGTTTTGGGTCTGTATTTTAGCTGTATGTATATGTATGGCTATCGATAACTGTTCGTGTCGATAACTAACGATAGTCAAATATATAAGAACGATTCTGAAAAAAAAGATGTGGTTCTCATTATCGTTATTTAATGTAGAATTCACATAGCGTACAACATCCGATGTACGACAATACGATATTCAATAAGAGAATTCGATTCTAATTAGCGATATTTTTGCCCTACAATTATAAGAAGATCATAATTCATGGATACTCCTTTATGTCATCTGAGAATGTATTTCGAATGTTTCTCGACTATTATGTTATCTTTAACGTTCTAACAAAGATGGAATGATATGTCTGAGTGAAACCGGAAACACAATAAAAAGCAATAGGAATAAGGAATAAGAAATTTCAATCTATCAGAAATCCATTCTAATATACATGGTCTCTAATAGGTCAAAATTTATTATTTCTGTTCCTGTATTGTCTATACTTTTCATTATGTTTCCGGCTTCGGATAGGAATCTGAACCCACGATGCATATCTGAACCCAACACGAGAGAATTCGTCGCAAGATCACATGTGGCACGTGCAACGATTACGCATGCTACAAATTAATAATTTCAAGCTCGTTCACGCGTCATGTGAATGTGGAGTACTCGTGATAGTGGGCGAGCGCAGTCTTAGATGGGAAAAACCGTCATACGGTTCTTACATGGAGGGGGATGGTCGCGAAGAAAGGAGCGTAGATCCGTCGTGTACAGCGGATCTGGAAATGCAGGGACACATCGCCGGTTCTCAGTCACAGTATCGCGTCCTCTCAGTTCGCCTCGATATAGCTGTTGATGACTGCGTTCCTCTTTCGTTTCTTTTCTTCCGTAATTTCATCCGGTCCGCGAAAGTGGGTTTTCTCCTTTCTCTTTCTTTTTCTCTTCTTCTCGACATTCATGAATTTTTATAAATGTTGCGATTTTGCACGCTTTTCTTTTCTCATGGAGTACATACATCAATACATCTTATTATTTGCATTATTATAAGAAGATAAGAAGATGTATGTGGATTTTAGATTTTGATTAATTTGATCAAGAAAATTTTTTCGTGCAGTTATCGCAATGGAGACTGAATGTATGTAATAGGAGTTTTGCTTGAGAAGTAAAGGAACGTTTTGACGCGGCGATCGCTGCCTCAAAAAAAAACAACGAAGAGGAAATTCGAAGAACACATATTGCAACCTCATGAAGCAACCACCATGACCATGATTTTGCGAACATGTCTTTGTCTCAATCTTTTGACGGTAGGATTTATGTGTAATACATATGCATAATCACGATTAATGTAAAGATACATATCATATAATACATAGCACATTTAGTGGAGAAAAACTTAAGAAAGATTAATCTATCACAAAATAATTTTTATATGCACTGATTTTTTTTCTTATTCACGCATATCTATATATATGTCAGGATTAAGTTAGTAAGTGAATTATAAGTAAAATTAATCCGATAAATTTTACATTGACATAAATACGGATGAAAATATTTTCATAAATGATTATTGATTTTTTTATATTTGCAAGTATTAGCAAATTGACATTTGCAAATATTAACAAATTGCCATTGACATTGGCATTCTACGTTGACGTCACTTCAAGATCCTTGAGTTACTAAAATGTCAATCGCGAACTGATGATTACTGTTTCTTAAGTTTTCTAATAATAACTGGTAAATGAATCGGCAAAACAATTACGTTACATAATCTTATTATTTTCATGTTTATAATGATGAATTTCGTAAAGCAATATTGGCGTTGATAACGAAGGTGGATGTTTGCGCAAAAAGATTATAGATACTTAATATAATAAAAATAACTCAATTTTAATTTAATAAGGATGCAAATCGAAAGAATTTACACATGATTATTAAAAGTATAAATGCTAGCTGGTAGAGCTACATTAAGATCTGGAAAAAAAAATAAAATTAAAACTGCATTATAATTAATTTTATCATCTAAAATTAATTTTACAATATATAAGTTCTTATTTTCTTACAGCTTTTTAATTAATATCCACTAGCAACGAAGGAAAATCCATTCTTATTCCTTGACTTGTGATTTATCTAACAAATTTTGAAGAATTTAGGAAAATGATTTATGTATAAGACGAATAGTCTTAGGATAATTTAGGTACAAAGTTACTCACATTTTACATACAACAATTACAGCTTTAAATTGTGATGAATTGTAGGTGTTTAAGTCTGTCAAAGAAGTGTATGTTATTTTACATATATTCAACGGTGATGGCTCGAGATAATTTACGTAACTGCATTTGTGTGCCAGTAAAGCAGCTGATTGTTCCGTATATTCATCGAATACAATCTATCACGCATATATTCACATCATCGTTCGATCGAAACCGGCATGATTTGTGGAAGGTGTTCATGAAAATTGATGCCGAGGATGCATTCGTGAGAGGCACCGGTTCCTATTCTATTCCGAAGAGTTCGATGCACGAACGCGCGATACCGTGAAGATGGCGTGAATGGAAGTATAACAGAGGAGGACGTCTCTCTCTCCATGCTATTGAGTAGTATAGCACGTGCGTGACTATCAATACAGCCAAATTCACTCAAAAAGATACAATCAAAAGGATCAGCTCTGTTTCCAAGTAATTTGACTACATTGTAAACTGATAATCATTTATCATACTCTTTTGATATTATATGGTTTTTTTTATATGGTTGTTGGATTTTAAGTATTATTCATTTAAGAATTTTTTTAAGAGAGAGAGAGAGAGAGAGAGAGAGAGAGAGAGAGAGAGAGAAATAATAATGTCTAAATATGTGATCGATACAAACCAATGGATTGTTAATACTATCTATTTGGAAAAACAATTGAATTTTCTGGGAACAAAACGTAAAAACTGTATATTTTTTTAAGGAAAGTGAAGAAATAAGTCAAGAAATAAAAGAATAGATTTTCCTTATAATTTTTGTTGCTAATGGATATTAATTAAAAAGCTGTGAGAAAATAAAATCTTAAACATTAACCTTACACATTAATTGCAATATAATTAGCACGAAAAAAAAATTATTTCCCAAGTATAATGATTTCTTAATATAATAATTATAATAAAATTTATTTTTATAGCGTTTATTCTCATTATTGTTAATTGTTTTTATATACAGCGTATTTTACAATACTATTTGATTAATTGGAATTAATTAATATTATTATTTAACGTTAGTATTTAAATAAACTGAATTATTAAAAGATATTAAAGAACTAAAACTTGAAGTAGACTGTTTCTTAATTTCGCATAATTATTAAAAAAATCACGAAATGAATATCTAATATGCCTTTGCGTTTGAATAGAGTTAAAAGCGCGCACCGATCTTTAATCGTTGAATATAAATATCGAGAAGAAATGATGTGAAAGTAAAATAGTAACATGAAACAACTTTGAGTGGCAGTTTAGAATACGTGTTACTAATTTTACATGCACGAAGAATTACTAAATCGAAAGGGAAGCATCCGGTACACAAGGCATTTGCGTTTGAAAAGAATTGGAAATAAAAACTGATCCTCGTAAATATCGGGACGAAATTACGCGAAGGTAATTAATAGAATGTGCGCTCTGAATATCAATTAGCACGTGTTCGTGTGAAGGTCACGACGTGTTCATGAAACGCCGACGCTCCTCAAATACCAAGTGAGATCGCAAACGAGATCGCACATTTATCACGTGTCTTCTTCATGCGACACCATCTGCAATTATGATCCGTAATAAGTACCACGATTGTATGCGAGGTGGTTGGATCACCGCAAGATGCTACCGACAATGACGCTAACCTTCGCGTACGGTATGTTACAATCTTCAAGCATTACTTTAGAGATTTAAATGATTCTTGTAGACAATAATACGTATGTGCAAGAAATATAAAATAATACATATTTTAAAATGTTATTTAAAAAGTGGTTGAGTAATTCTATTCGCAAACATGAAAAAAATAGCATTTATTCTTGAAGAATGATAATACTGCGTAACAGATTAATAGATAAGAAATAAAAAGTACAGGCTTCAAAGTATAGCATTTTGTTGTTTAATTAGCTTCTCCATTCATTTTATTTTCGTCATAAGTCTGATTTAAATACATCATATATTTTTACGCATATTTGTATTATTCATGCTGAGCTAGCGTCGTATATATAAGTTTCGGAAATTTAATGATTAAGCGATACGAATGTGTGCCAACTTAATTGTTTTTTTACAATTTAACAATAAGATGAATCTCGTAGAACAACTGACCAAGAATTTTGTTAATTTCTTCTCTATTAACTAATTACGTCTGCAATTAGCATAACAATATCCTTTTCCTGTAAACATCAAATTCTTTGTCAGCTACCAATGTCGCCAATTTCCCGAGCGCGCAATTTCATTATAATCCTAGATTATATCACGTTATCGAGCACGTGAGAACCGCGCGAAACGTGGGTGTTTAATGAAAGAGGAGATCGCAAGAGAGGATGCATGGAGAACGGCGTGGCGGAAGCGAGCGAAAGGAGTCGCGGCGGCTCCTGTGCAAAGTTGAAATCACCGTGACCGATGGGAGTCGACGGACAATGGACGATGCAATGATAATTTAGTGAGTTAATCGCGTGGCTTGGATGACCTCGTATAAAACCGCCGGCCAAAACGATAGCTTTCCTTGGCGAGAGGATGGAAAATTGATGCGAGGCATAGTTATAAACGCGTTAAGACTCTGAAGCTCCTGAGAATTATGCGTTATTATACGACGAGAATGAAAAATTTTGAATCTTTAATACATAACACAATTTATTCCCTGTCTTGATTGCTTATGGTCCCAACTTGAATTCGCAATTGTTATCTGCAAAATAACTCTTTTACTGCTATAAGCAGTTTGAGCAAGGGTTCCCCATTGCTCTTGTTTTAAAATATTAAATTACTTTCTCATGCTGAGTCTCCATTAAAAAAAAAAGAGAAAAATCATCAATTATTGATCTTTTGATCAATTAATTAATCTTTTAATTATTAATTAATTGATTAATTTTCAATTGATGTTTATAGAAACAACCGATTTTAACTTTTGCTTAAAATTACTGTGTTCGATAATGAATAATAACACGTTATTACATTACATATTTTACATCATTTTCTTACCAAATTCTGCATTTGTAAAACTAAGCAACCTATCAGTGTCTTTCATGTTGATTGAAGATAACTGATATTAAGTGCCTATTTTTCGCTTTGATGTTAAAGAAGAAAAGTGTTCGCTCGACAGGAAATTAATACTAATTTGCGAGCACTATAATTTTGATAGAGATAGAATGAAAAAAAAAGTGTCCAGCGTTTCTCTTAAGAACAAAATAGATTGTGAATGTATCAAAAAGGAAAAGAAAAAGAAAAACTATCCTATATTAAAGTTTTAGATACGAAATATTATGTCATTGAGTTTACTTTTCGTAATGACTTTTATCTATAAAACTGCAGGCTAATTACACACACACACATATATTATATATATATACAGAATACAGACATATGATGAGTATTTTCATTCGCTGTTTGATATCTTGAATTCCATAGAGTGCATAAAGAAGCATTGGTATGTATGATCATGCAATCGTAGATTGATAAAATTAGTATAGTATATCGTTTAAAGAGTTCATGTCTATAAATAGACGTGATATAATCAACTTTATGTAGATAAAAAATGCTTAGATTTTTTAACGAACACGTTTGGTAGATTCACTACACGTCGCGTGGTAGATTTATATATCAAGGATATCAACTTAACATTGAGTCCAACTTCTACAATGTGATCATTTTTCAAGTCAAAGTGCCCTACAGCGATAACACATAATGAACCAGTTTCAAGGATATCAGAGCAATTCTGCAGAGTATGAATTCTTGCTGATAAAGAGATATAACAACACAATGGATATTAAGCGCATATATGATAAGATCCAAAGTTATACTTAAGTCGTGCTACATAAAACAAAACTCAGTAAGTAATTCGTACAGCTGAATATATCAATTAAGGGAAACTTAAATTTCTTTACCTTAGTACATAACGCATCTAAAAATATCCTCGCATCCGTTCTCATTTCTATTTTAATATTTTGTATATGTTGAGAAACCTCTGGATTGGACGTTTTACATTTTTAGATTTTTTTAGAGGAAAACTTTTATCTGTTAATTTAACGAAGACACACCTCGTTTCTTTTTATTCATACTTTTTGTCCTACAAATGTTACTCTCTCCATTTTTATAAATATTATTATTATATTTCATAAAATATTTTTTGCTATATAAAACCGATATATCGGCCTTACGCTCAGTTGGTCCAGCATCTCTTAATATGGACTGACGAGACGAGAGGCGGACCTCGTGATCTTGGTCAATCCCACGCAAAACCCGCGATAGAAGGGATAAATATATCTCTTACATGATCGCTGTGCTTGCGCGCAATAGTGCCCTGCTATAATATTATAATGGAAATCATCGCATTCTTCGCGTGATCGGAATTATTATAGCACTATATTTGACTAAACAACGATCATACTAATACACGTCCAGTTTGAGGACATTGCCTCGTAAATAAGAATTCGTTATGTTTCGATTTTATTTTTTGCTGACTTTCTATGCATTTCTAAAGTATGAGTAATCATAGATCAGCCTGCAGATCTCAAGTTTTTTATAACAATGACGAAAAAGAGCGGAACGTAATTTCATTCGCATGGAAATCTCGCATGAATTCGATTACATATAAATAAGATTACAAATACAATATACTGATCCTACATAACACACGCATACTATTTTAATTATTGTTTAAAAAATTACAAGTAGTATGAAAGTAAAATTGTTCAACACTGTTAACATATTTATTACAATATAATTGATAGATTTTTTTCTAATCAAAAGACATAATTTATTGCTATATACGCAAGTCTGTATAAAATTAGTTGCAAGGAGATTCCTTTTTACTACATATAATTGTCCTTGAGCTCAATAAAAATAATATGAAGAATAAGATAAAATACAGTTTTTAAAGCATATATCATATCTATGCGTGCAATATTCAATAGTATACCCTACAAAAGCCACAACCTCAATTCATGTAACTAGAATTCAGACATTGTAACTTGTCGACTTTTAATGGTTGCACAACCGTCTTTCCATCGGGTGATATGTGCTAGTAACGAGCAGAAACATGAGAGTACAAAATACTATCGAATGTGCTAAAATCTTGAGGAAATAAAATACATCGTCTCAAGCTTGAATTGTTCAAAGTCATGCTCAAAGCGGCATTACAACATTCGTCGTATTTAAGTCATAACACTTTAAATGGTGATTACAACCGTTGAAACGGAATATGCCGCGCTTACAAGTAGTCGTATAGATCTCAAAGAATTGCCAAGGAACACGTAGCTGATCATGTTCCTTGTCATAGCACGTACTTGTTATCAATCGACAACGAATTAAAAGTGTATGTGCTTATAGATCGTCAATGTCTTTTTGTAACTGGACTTTCGATGACAGCTGGTCAACACAGCAGATAGCTAATAAGACTTTCATGTTTTGCAATGAAGGGAGATCGGAGAGCTATTACTATATTAAATTAATAATTATATTTCTTGTAATAGTAATATATATTCGATATATTCCTTTTTAACATTTTTAAGAAAAATTCTATTTTATCTTATTATTAAATTGTTTATTTTAAAATGATTTCTGTATGTATTATATTTTAAGATTAAAAATACATAAATAAATTAAGCAAATTCATCCTCTATGTGCTTTTAATTTATAATCGATTCTTCACTCACCTTTTATTTTTAACAGAGTTGTGATGTATTTTATTTTTAACAGTGTAATCGATAATTTAACATTTAAGATACATTGAACTGGTACTTTAGAATTTCAATTAAAAATATTTTTTTTTGCACAGTATTTTCATATTAAGCAGTAAGTAATTTATTAACGCGGTTGTCGCGACGCAGAAACGAGTTAAAATAAGCTTACAATTACAGGCGTCGGCGCTCTGTTTAACGGCGGACGAAATTGAGGCCCAGAGAAGCGGTTGGAACTTAAATCCCAATACGCAGTATCACATTCAGACTGATGAGGGTCCGGAGAGATTTTTTCGCTTTCAAACATCGAATGGCCAGTATAGGAAAGAGAAAAGATTGGCTGATGGTACAGTGATCGGCACTGAAGGCTGGTTAGATCCTCTTGGATATTTACGACTGAAGGATTACATCGCGGACCACGAGGGATTTCGAATTTTAAAGTAATCTGATATAGGAATAAAATTAATATTCAAAACACCCCTAACTAAAATCACTAGAAATCAAGAGTAATTAAGTATTTAGTGACGAATTCACATTGCTGGAATCCTTTTAGGTCAAAAATGGTTTATGTCGGTAAAGATCGACCTATTCAGGACGCGGTGGCGGAAGCAAAGAAGACTCCAGCGCAGACTGGAATCTTAGCCAGGCCCAAAAGGCCACCAAATCCTTTCAGGTAAAGACTTAATATCGGAAAATCAGAAAGTCAATTTATATAATGTTATAATATATAATTTTTAATTATTTTTAATTATTTATTACAGACGACCAGATTCTAATGCCATCGTGCCGCTGTCTGGCAACGACATTACTTCCGGTTATTACGCTCCGACGACTATCAGACCCCGACCGATTTCGAGAAACAATTATTATTCTAGTCGATCAGGCTACCCTTCTGAACTTCAGAATCTGGACATTTATCATCAACCACATGCTATGTATTATCGCGAATCCGCAGTTCGACCACCAACTCAGATTCTCGAAGCTCCATACGATCCTGCTATCGGAAGTTCCTCCCTCAAGCCAAGCTATCAATCGCCAAGTGTTTCTCGAAACGATTTCCCGTCATATGACGGCACTCATACCACAGCGAATGGTTTCCAGTATTATTTAAGAAGGCAATATCATGAGGAAGAAAGGGAGCCTGAAGGCAACAACGTCGGCTCTTTCGGTTATATCGATCCATTTGGTATTAGACGGGTGATTTATTATAAAACGGATCCGTTCTCCGGTGGATTCCTCCATAAAAAGAACAATCGATACGTCGGTTTCAACGCGACGCCATACGATCCACTTCCGCCTGATCTGTCCAGGACACGACTCTTGAGAGCTCTCCCGACGAGCGCTTCGTAACAGTTCCGTCATTATTCATTGCTTTGCCACGTTGTAGCATCACATGTTATCGCGAAGAGTTCATTCAATATCGCGTCGACGCTGGGTTTCGCTACGCTGAACGGCCTTGGTTCGATGATCTCGACAGCGAGACCATTTGTCGAATCGAACTGCCATCTGTTATCGATGTTCTCTTAAGCAATCTTATTGATCGTGAATTTTCTAATCAGGATGGAATCAATAGATACTGTTAAAAGGAGAAAGAACAATGATAAATAGAAACGGTCTCGTAAATATTAAAGATCGTCTATATTCTAAGATAGATAAAAATTCTCCGACAAGGATTCTCGATCATCAACATTGCTTATGTGTAATATATAGATATAACGTTTCTCAAAGTGCCACAACTAATATTCTTTTGATGTACGACTTCGTTGTGTCATCGCCAACGATTTCCAATATTATTCGAGATAATGTAACATTATGCGAGGGTCGATCGAACCAGGAGACTATCGACAGTAGATAAAAAGGTTCCAACGGAGAATTAGAGATAAGGATTGTGCGAAATTAACACAATGACTTTCGTCATCGAGAAGGCGGTAGCTTCCTGATTCGTCGTCCTGCCTTTGTTCTGCTATTATCACGAGTAGATGATCGGATACCACAAAGAGACAACGTTAGATGCTGGACTATAACTCAATTTTCAGGGAAGCGCGGTGGGACTTCCTTGAAAAAAAGAAATTGTAGAACGCGTCGGACAATGTTCGCGAATCTTTCCAATTGCGTCACCGATCTCTACGAAACGTGCGAAGACTCGCGACCGCCATTGTTCTCATACGCGTAAGCTTCTTTCAGTTAGTAATCTATTTTTTGCAGGGATATTTTAAAAAATATTTATTTTCATTTGAGATGTAATCAAAATACATATCTATATAATTCTCTCTTAATAGCAAAATTAAACAAAAAAACTTTTCAAATTATCTATTTAAATTATCGAAAGTTTTTGCAATTTTCTGTAGCTTTTAGGGTAAGATTGCCAAGAAGTACACACTTTTCTCTTATTATATATGCTATATATAACTTATACAAAAACTGTGTTTGAGCAGTAAAATGTTACTTATATGCTTTTACTGTTTTATAATTTGAACTAAAAATTTGTCAAGTATCGATTTGACATAAACTCATTTTTATAGGAGATTAATTTTATTGAAAAGATATAAATATTTTTTTATAGTGCGTACTTTTGGGCAAAAATGTATTCTCAAGAATACGACACTATTAAAAAAATGTCGCTTAGTCTATAAACAATGTTGATTAAAGTACAAAAAGTATTAATTTTTGTTTGAGTATAAATCTTTATAAATTATACTTGAAGCATTTATTACGTGCAGAATTCACATAAGTAAGTTTTCACGTGACAATCGATTCCAAAGCAATCGATCTATGGGCCCACAAAGTTAGTTTTGGCACTAGATCCAATTTTTATCGGATTTGAAATTCAAATACAAACTGTTACAAATATATAAACTGTTCATCATCGTTACTATCATCTATCACTATCTTTTATGAGCTGAATCAATTTAAAGTTTTTAAATGTGTACTTTTATGCCATCATGTCGTTTTTTGTTTCTAACATAATAATAATTATTTTTAATAAAAATTATTAGGGGCTCCATACAATAGAAGGGAAAGGAGAACAAAGAACAAGAATTTGAACCTATCAGAAATATTGTGGAATACACAATTTCTGATAGGTTGAAATTCTTATTCTCTGTTCTCTGTTCTCTATTCCTTCTATTGTGCGGAACCCTTTACAGATATTAAATAAATACGAAATAGTGACATATATGCACAACATAAATCATACAGATTCATAAAGCAACAATTTAATGTAAAAACCGATCGGTTTCGTAAAAATACAATAAGAAAGTGGTCATAATTACAAAATTTAATATATCTCCTTTATCGCTGCAGTGATCACAACTATCTTTTTGTATGTACACAGATTGGTTAATCAAATAGATACGTTCTGTGTAAATTACAGCTGCTACGATCTAATAATTGCGCCGTAAAGCTCAATATTCTTAAGCGAGGTATACTTTTGAGCGGATTAATCCAATCTACGACAAAAAAGAATCCCACCTATCGAATAAAAAAATATAAACGATCGGCATTTTGGCGTGAGCGAATCGGTCATTAATCCTGCAATATTTTTTTTTGTATTAGCGACATTCCACCCAGCAAGGTATCACAATTTTATTATTGGTTACGAAAGAACTGCGTTATACTGTGAGGTAGAACTATAGTGGTGATTTATATCATCACCGAATCGCAGCTTAAAAATTTGATGCGAGAAACACAGTTATGCAAATGTGCATTGTTGTACGTTACATGATTAATTCAGCGTGAGCCAGAGATCCGGAAATCTTAATAGCTTTCTATTGCTGATTCTGCTGACGCTAATGGCAGTAGTTTCCTTCTTAGTTTATAATGCGTGTCCGCGGATACTTTTCACGTACTACTAATTTTTCACGGCATACCGGAAGACTATTCGCTCGTGCCAAATGATGAAAGAGACAACGTAGAATTAGTCAACCGTTAAACTTAAACCTCTTTACATTGCGACAATGGTGCAGATTGTTAAATAAAAACAGATATACCGCGCACTTTCTGTTCTTTTACGGCGATGAGAACCGTGCTGTTACGCTCTTTGCGCCTAATAGTCAATTGCGATTTTCAGATTAAAGTTCTCCCGCGAATGACAATGGCTGCATTCAACGTACTCAACAATTGAGTGAGCGCTCGCTGCTATTGATGTATTCTTCTAGATCTAAAATGCTGATTGAATGATCTAAAAGAATACACTAATAACAATTGAGTGCTCACTCAACTGTTGAGTCAGCTGAACGCATTACACTTGTTAGCATATCAAAAAGTCAAGGGATACGATTTGTGCATAAGGAATATCATTTTATGCTTAACTTATTTTATAAATAAATGTGAATGCGAACAATCGCTTACACATAGAATGTCAAACATGTGATAGATAATTTACATTTACACAGAAAGTAACAAAGTAAATAAAACTGTATTTATCGAAGTTATTGCTTCATTAGAAATTTTATGGTGAATATAAGGAATAACCAAAAATTTATGATTATTTTAATTATCAGAATTGAATATGGCACAATATGAAAGTTGTACAGCATGATAACGCATATGTACAAACTATAGCCTTTGCATTTGTGACATAATTTTCAATGTTGTTCACATATAAAATAACAATTTAACATAATTTAGTAACATTTGATCGGCACATTCAACTTTAATTGTATGTATCTCACATTTTAAAATAAATAAAAATATTAATATAATACAATTAAAAATATTTATAAGTATTGTTAATGAATTTTATAGGGATTATCGAATTACATTGGTTTTATCTAAGAAAGCATTTTCAAACTTTCTATTGCAATAAATTAAAGAGAAATACTTGATTTGATTAAGCTATCAAATAACCGACTTGGTTCTGATAATATATATTTTTTATGGCATATTTTTTTTATTTTGACGGTAATATAGCATCTTTTTGAATTTATCTAAAATCGATTTTCAAGAATATATTCTTATCTTACAAATCTACAAGTCTCCTGTAATGTTATTTCCGAATAATTGTCAATAATTTATAAGTATTTATTATTTATCACGTTACCTGGATTGCAAGGAGCAGTATATATAATATCATCGATGATTCTATGTCGTATAATAACGTCAGTGCGATGTGCATCCAGGAGCACCAACATCCGCTTACTTATATTTGATTATCATACCTCATTCAAAGTTTCACCGGTCTCGATGCGCTACCTCGTGAAAAGTTTCACCAGTTTCGGAGATCGCTTCTCTTTCTTTCCTCTCCAAGCACGAAGACTGATGTCCTTATATAGATTTGTATGTACACGAAACTAATAATAAAGACGCTTCGCTTCGTTAAATGCTTATATATGTGTATTATATTTTCTTTTTCCGACCAAGCTCGAATGCAAATCTTTTAGCGTTTGTATAGACCGTAATAATTCTTTATTCCACAGAAGATTTATTGAATATTTGCTCATATATAGATCATTTATACATTGAGAATGCACAACCGTTGATAATCGCTGGTAAAAAGTCGATGTATATTTATTTGTACAATGAATTATTTGATTCTTTTCCGTCACGATTCCTATTTTTTGTTGCTGATATGTATGTTAATAAACATTTCTCAAAATTATACTTTTTTCTTTCATAAATGTTTTTACAATAAGAGATGAGAAATAATTAAAAAATAAATAAATCATAAAAAAATAAAATGCTATGCAAAGAATCAACACATAAACTATTAAAAATATAGGTGTTTTGAAAACAGAAAAGTTTTCTCTTAAGTGCAGAAAATATATTGTGAAGTCATCGAAAAATTGTAATGTTCTGTCTATAATTAAAGTTCTTGCACCAAAGGCAGAAATTCTACGGCGAGATATAAAAGTGACAGCGCCATGAATGAACGAAGACGCAATCACGAGTAAGTTAATTTGCTGGGTACGGTTTACTCCCGTGACATTCTTCTTTATCGCGATACAAGAAATGTCAGTTCCCACTCGAAGAGCATAATTACGCGGCAGAGGTAGCCGCGTCGCCACAGAAAGATAATGATATATAGTAGGGAATTAATCATTGATAGGAATGCCAGGATCTCATTCTCGTTTGAAAGGCTTGATCAACAATGAAAAGATGGACGAGCAAAGTCGAGCTTACCGAAGCGATGTTTCTTACTACAAATGTACATAGAATGAAGAATGTATTTGAGACGCGAGAGAATAAAGTAACTTAACAACTTAATAGCTATTTCTTAATAACGGTATGATGCTGCGAATATAATATGCTATGTTTATGAAGCATCACTATTGGTATTTTCTGTTATATTCATCCCGCCTGTCGACTTGCTGGCTCAGAGGCTGTTGTGCTTTTTGAGCTGCTGCGCGAGCTTCTTCCTCCTAAAAATAAACATACTGAATTTTTATAAACTATTTTTATTCTCTCTAAATCTTTTGGAGTAAAAAAATTAAGCCAGTCGTGAAAAAAAGAATAAAAATTGTTCACTATTGAATAAGAATGGCAGAATTTTACTTTTTTTTGGAATAAGATTTTATTCTTTTGGAATGAGAGTCACTTCAAAAGAATAAAATCTCACTCTTTTTTTAGTGAGACTTCATTCCTTGGAGTAACTTTTATACTCTAAAAAAAAAATGAAATCTTATTCCAAAAGAATGAAAAATTTGTTACTTTTGTTTAAAAGTGAATATATTGTATTTTTATTCTTGTTTTCAAGACTGACTCAATTTTTAGTCAGAATGAAACCTCCCTTAAAGTGAGGTTTTATTTCTAAAGATTTAGAATTATTAATTGATATTATAAATTAGGTTTTGTTGATTTAGTAATTAATTTGTCAGAAGAAATAGATTACAAAATCTATTTTTTAAAAAGATCATTTTTTTCTTTTTCAGAAGTAATGTTAACTTGATTAAATACATAACTAAGCGTTAAATCTAATTTTATTATCTATTATTGTCAGAGAATAGAATTAACGTGATATTTGTAACGCCGTTACTTTTACTGTTATTTTGTTATAAAAACGATTTGAAAATGACGTTGCAAATGATGATAACATACGACAACCAATGATAATATCAGTGTTGGAAAGTCATCCATTACTAAAAAAAAAATAACTCATTTTTTTGTAATGCATGAATCGATCAATCGATACGTTACTTTTAATTCGTTACAAAAGTAACAAGTTATTTTTTCATTTTCAATAAATTACGCGTAATATTATTTCCTTTAGTTATTAAAAAATCTTTTAATCAAATGTTCCTATTTACAATACATATATTTTTAAAATATGACCAAGATCTGTATGATATCGATAAAACTAATTATTACAATTAATTATCACTACGGTCTGCGGTGCAGTTTTAATTAGATGTAGATATCTCGGATTTGTCAATAGCTTTCTACAGTGCGTAGATAAGAATTACAGTTTTCGACAAGATAAGGAAGAGAACCAGTAGCTATTACTGATGTAATAATTAACGAGAGTTGAAAGGAAACGGCATATGAGTAACTAGCTTTTTTCTTTGTTTTGTGCAGGTCATTCATACCATACAGCGGTCTTTAACCTTTGCATCGATATGGATCGGCATAATTTCGCAAGTATGCTCATAATGTAGATAACTGAATGGCTTTTCGCAAACCCTGCTTGGAAACCGTGACCTATGCTAGCTGTGACGAAACAGAAGTTCTTCCCATAAGATCGCGGAGAATGTTTTCCATAAAGGTGAACATGAACGTGAACAAAAGTGAAGAAGAGAGATAAAAGAGGAAGAGAAGTGGGGAAAACTGTGAATGGATTTTAACTGCAATGAAGTAGTAAAGTTTTACAACATATATACGATTACTCACAATCAGTCACGTAATCTTGAATGAGTCTGCTCTTTTAATACTTTTATATATAACTCTCTAATATTCCTTTAATAGAATTTAAACTTTAATGTCAATTATAATGATTGTTATTAATGGAGTTTATTTATTTTAAACAATCCATTCAAATTAATACTGTTGCATTATTAATTAACTTTTCTAATTTTATCTGCAACAAGTAATGATCTATATCTATTTTCTAATTTTATCTGCAACAAGTAATAATCTATGTCTATAATAAATTAAATATATTTTCGAGTAATCTCCATACATCCTATTGATCCATATTTTGCAAATAAACCGCTTAAGATACCGTTAATTATCTAAATTAAATACCTATGATGTGGAATTTCATAAAATTAAACGATTATAAAAATTATAACAACTATTATAAAAATAATTATAGAGAATAATATAATGGAGGCCTAGGATGGAAAAGAAAAAGAAAGGTTATAGAGTATACTTACCTCTTGCTGACGAATACCCGCGTAGATGAGGTCGAGGCCTTTCTGGATCTCTTCACTAACAGGCGGTGGCGTGGGAATATGATCGCCCTGCGCGTGAAAGCCGGTCTCGTCGGCGGTATAGTGAATGGTGATCAGCTGTCCCTCGGGACTCGTGTATGAGAAGGTGCCTTGTTGCACGATCGCCTCCGCCCGGTCTTCACCTTCGCCAATAGTCTTGATGTACCCACTTTCTTCAGCAATGATATTGTTGCCCGTTTCGTAACTGTAGGATTCAAATCGCCCAAGGGTGTTAAATAATCGATTACGCAAAACGGACGATCCAGAAAGCCAACCAGTCCGTGTTACGTAACATTAAAATACGCGCTAGCAAAGTTCGCATGGATTCAAGGCATCAGGTAATGTCGCAGTCTGATAAATAATTGCGTCAACTTTCGATTACGTGAATACAAACTCGCATAACCAAGATTTCAAAGAATAATGATATATATTATGTAGAGCGTAAGATAAAATGTTAGATCATTAGCGAAATCTTTATGCGCACATGATGTAAGAGCAAAATTAAAGAAATATTTTTTGTCTATTTGAAATATTATATGTGCATATATAATATATTATTATTAATATTACTCATTACTCATTTTAAAAATGTTTATAAAATATAGCTGGCATTATCACTGCAATAATTTAAGAAGCTATCTTTTTTTCTGAATTGTGTAAATACATATGTAATTACCCTATCTTATAAGTTCCATCGTGTTCCTGCTGTTTGTTCCAATGTAAGATTGGGATGGGCGTGGTGCTCGTAGGTCGTCTGCTGTCAGCTTGATGTTGTTCATCATCCTGTTGATAGTTGCGTCCATGGTAATTTTGATCTTGCGCCATTGCCAATCCCAGAATCATTGCTAATGCCTAAAAAATTATAAATGTTAGTTTTCTTGATTAGCAAATGCATGATTGAGATACATTTCAAGAAAAAAATGCTTGTTTCATATTGCGATTACAAAACGCATGTGTGTTATTAAGCGTATGTATATCATATAAGATTCGGATTGCATCAGTTAATTCCTTTTCTAATCGGCATTCTAAGATTAAGGGTACTTTCCAGCAAGAGACACAGATGATACAGTGTAACATAGTGAATCATAAAATCTTTGTTGTTTGCTACTATTAAACAAAGATGAAATGATCACTATGTTGCACTGGCTGTTCAAAATTCACTGCCAATGCTGAAAATATATAGGTAACGTAAATTTTTTAGTGCTGGCAGTGAATTTTTGAACACAGCCACTATGTCTGTGCTGTAAAGTACTATAACTCAAAAGGTAAAATGATGATCGATGAGAATAAGTAGATGTAGATGAGTGTAACGCAAAAAATTTTAAAGTGGATTTATCGGTTTCTCTACTACGAAATCAGGCGATGCGCTCTCAGGAGATGAGTGAAAGTGAGAAGCAAATGCCAACGCGGGTCATTTAACTCCTGACCCGCAAACTTGTACAGCTGGGCCCGTCCCATTTCATCCCAACCTATCGTGATCCCCTTCTACATTATTCTTCGATGTCGCGTTGCTTGTCCCGTTGCGATCTTATTCGTTTATTAATTGAATCATAGATTTATTTTTATGAGAGAGAGAGAGAGAGAGAGAGAGAGATTTGGAATACCGTTTTTAAAAAAATTCTATTTTTCAATTGAATTTTGCTCAATTGAATGATTAAAGCTTAATAAAAACGAAATAGAAATAATTTTAATATAGTATGCATGAGAATATGCACAGTAGTATTTTGTATTAGTATTTTTAAAAATTGTTCATTAAAAAACAATATTGTAAATGAATGTGTTTTTAAGTGTTTGAAAAAATACTTCTAAAAAATAAGTAGAAACTCATATCAGCCTCCGGATTATGTAAAACTTCAGGATTTTAATCCCACGCAATTCTTGTTTCGTCACATCAACAATATATCTTACGCATATAAATTAATAAATGCAGATTGTCGTAATGTATCAATAACAATAGTAACTTTTTAAAATTCTATAAGGATCACGTATTTCGCTTACATGTTAAACGATTCTTCTAATTAAATTAAACATTTTTTAACTTCTGAATTTAGAAAATTCGATCAAGTTTGATAAATATAAATAAATGAATAAATAATAATGAAAAATGAATAAATATTTCTGAAAACCATGTTTTATTATTACTCTTAATTACTATTAATTTTATTTTAGAATAGATGCATTATTTCTTTTTGGAATTATAATTAGAAAAACACAAGAATTGAATAAGATACTAAAATGAGGATAAAATTATTTAATATCAATTAAATTGATTTTTACACATGATTTTTTTGCAACGCAACAATATAATACAGGGATACAAATATATAATATCGGGAACAGACAAATTAGCTTTTTCAATTCCGAAAAGACAAAGTCGCGCTTAATTGTTCCGGAAGACAGTCTTTCGCGATTACTTACCACGTATTTCATCTTGACTCGAAAGTATCTCGAATGTGTACCTCTTCAATAAGACAACGTGAATATGCGTCAGGGATACAAACGGGGTGATGGCAAACGTAGGAAGATAGTCGCAAACGAACGAGATCGACTGCGATCCCAAGAGAGGAAAGAAATCCCCTTTTATACTAACTCTCACTTTATCCCTACTCGAGAAGACGGGGCTTCGAAAGATGCTTCGTATGCTTTACGGCAAAGAGCCTACATATTTGCCAATAAACGCATGTGTGGAATAGTGGCTTCTTTCATTAAGCGTTCGTGATGAGACCTGATATTCCGATATCAAGAAGCATCTTGATCCAATTATAATATTACCATATGATCTTAATCTTGAAACTCTATCGCTTATCTTCCGATAATTATTATTATTTAATTTATTTTTTAATTATTATTATTTACAAAAACTTGTCGCTCTTAATTTTATCTATGATAAAATTAATTAAATCAGGTTTAAGTAAAATAATTAATGAATGTCTATTCATATATTGCCTCATAATCTGAAATGTTACTTTATATACTTATTGTTTTACGAAAAAGTACTCATACGTAAACGTAATAAATTATATTTAATGTTTTTATTATATTTAATATTGAAATGCTAATAGAGTAAATTCAATTATTTTTTCGCGGAAGATGATTCGAAACTTTCATGTAACTTCGCAGTTATTCTCATTTAGGTCTATATAGTTTCGCAGATTATGGAGTTTGAAACTTAGAAAAACAATGGATAAGGAACACACTCTAATATGCATACTTATATGCATCAGAATGCGCGTATAAACAACCCACGATTTGTAGGCAGGGACTGTACTTCCAATTAGCGCAATACACTTGTTTTTATGCAGTCTTCGGATTATTGCGGCTTTTCTTCTTTCCATTTTGTTAAGAAAATTAAAAAGATTCAATTCTTGTATCTTTTAATTAATAATTATGTTCCGCACAGAAATTGTAAATAATGACCCGAGTGTCATTAGGTTAAAAATTAATGGAACTAATAATACTGTACTTATGGAAATATTTTTAGTTCTAATAATTGCATGTGAGTCTGTGATGATTCGCATATTTATATATTAGAAAATAATTTATTTATGTGTTAGAAAAGATAGAATCAACGCATCAAGAATTTCACTTTAGCATGTAATTGATCAAGATTTTGTTACGGAGATGAAAATTAGCGAAAGTAAAGTCGCAATTAGTCATGTGCATAAATTAATAATTGGGAAAAGAAGCTATTCAACCCGAAAAATCATATGCGTAATATACATTATCCAAGTTTTACGCTACGCAATTCTTGCGGAATTAATTTCTTAATAAAATAAATATCTAATCATCTATAGTAGGATTAGTGTGCCTTCCCTGTATTCTATTGTCTGAAGGCGTGTAAGGAAGACATCCCGGGATTATTACGTAAACAGATAGATATGCTAAATACTTTCACGTAGAGTCGGTGAGGAGCCGTTGACTTCCGATGCGATATGAAATTCGCATTTTTATCTAGAGACAAATTATGTATGTTCAATCGAACATGGATCGATGCTGTAACATTACTTTTCACGTATGAAACTTAATGAGTTTGTCTCTCGTGTAAGATATCACTACGGATCATTGATTATCACAGAATATCAATATAATCGTTATACATAATATTTCATGTCAGTTAGTAGCAATAATCGCCATTACACAAGTTATTAAGTTACAATGTAACTTAATAAGTAAATTAATATACATATATCCTGGTAAAAAAATTTCGCTGAAATTATTTCACGTTTTGGAACATTTCAATGAAATTGAACTGAAATTTCTCCAAAAAAACATTTTTTTTTAATGTTGAAATTTTATTGAAAAGTTCTAAAACGTGTTCTAAAATGTGGAATAATTTCAGCAAAATTTTTCCATCAGGGATTATATACCACCTTAAATAAATTACCACCTTATTGTAATTATTGCTTCATTATGCAGTAAAAAAAAAAATTTTATACATTCCGATTGAAACGTGATTACGATAAGCGTAGAGGCGCGATATTATGAAATTGTTTTAACCATTTACTGATCTTTCGTGGATTAACATATTAAAAAGTTCTGGTACACAAAGACATTTTATCGGAACAATATACATAATCGGACATCACAAACGCTTGCATTTGTATATGCTCGCGTGATTTTGACAAAATATTTGTAAGAGGAAGAGAAATACATATGTTAAGCTATTAAGATTATTATCATTTTGTACAGACCTTACTTATTCTCTATTCATAATGCAGGGCAAGATTGCTGCGACGGCACTAAAATGTAATAACAATGTAATTATATATGTCATCATATCATCCGGTATAAAAAAAATAATATTAAGATGAAAAATTTTTTAAAGATTTACTTTCGTGGGTGTTAACAGAGGAGTAAGAAGCAGAACAAGGATTCAGGGGGACGAGTGTTCCAGGTGGCATATAACTGTCAAAAAGATATTGATACATAAATTTAAAAATTATAAATTTACAAGATATGTAAAACTATACAGCATGAGATAATAAGATTTTAAATCGCTAAATAATCGAATAAAGAGCGAATTTTGAACCTTAGATTGTACGTAGTATTATCCTCCATAGGATTGACAGGTGAATAATAGGGCGCAGTTTTAGCCCATGGTTTCTCGATTTGATTCGTTGGCTCTATCGGCTGATAACTCAATTTCATCGTAGTCTCAGATTCCATCGCAATATCGGATGGCTGGTACTTATGTATAGGCGCGTACGATTGAATAGGCAGTAAGCATTCGTGATCATTCGGTATATAAGACAATTTATGAATCGTGCAGGCTACAATAATTATATATGTTAGTAATAAATATATATATATGTTAGTAATAAAAAAAAACCACGAACAAAGTAGTCGAGCAATGTCTAAGATTTTTTCTTTTTTTAAATGACACGCTTTTTTGTCTTTGATGAATAGAAATAGTACTATACTTTCTCCGATAAATACGATTATAAAATGTCAGATACATAAATTATTGCAATTATAATATTTTATATATGTGTCGTTAAACACTTACATTCCAGTGGCAAGGGTGAGAAAGTAAAATTGTTCTCAGGTCGAAACTCTGTCGGTCGCATCATGCGCTTCCAAGTGTAATCGTGCTTTTGTGTAGTCTCACCTTGCATTGCTCCTCTGCCCAACAATTGTGTTTCACATGGCATGATGGATGTTTCCGGTTTAAAGCACCAGTTGCCTAGAAAACTCAACTGCAACGATACGAGATTAATGAAATTTTGAGTTTTCAAAATTTCGAGTTGAAAAATTTTGATTTAAATTTAAATCTATTAATTAAAAAGTGATCATGCAATTTAAATTATAAAAATTTCTGTAATTAATAGTAGTTAATAGTCACGTCTAAAACATGATTTGAAACGATGATGCTGGCAAATGTTTTCAATCTTTAAGAGAATAATCACTGTTATCTCAATTCGCTACAATGACATGCTATGACTTGATAGAATTAATAAGGATTATCGAATCAATCTGCGAGACGATGCATCGATTATTAAGTAATTTTAAGAAAATTATCTCGTAATCGCCACATAATAATAAACTCGAGAACATCAACCCGAATTAATGCATCATCCTCAAATTAAATTTATCGTGAAAGTACAATTCAGCATTTGCTAACCCGATTGACGGTATCGTGAGAGAGTGGGCACGGAGAGAAAATCATATTGCCAGGCTGATGAATGGGATCCGGTGGTTTGTCACCGCCATATCCGAAATAACTGAGTCGGTACGTGGTGTTGTCGTCAAAGCAACAGCCGGCGTTCAGCAAGTTTTTATTTTCATTTTGAAGAAAAGGTTCCGGTGGCTTCTCATCACAGTTAGGCCAATAACTTAATTTGTAGGTCGTGCATCCATCCATCGGCGTCACTGGGCGATGATAATCTCCCTTTTGTTTCC